TTCTCAGCAACCCTGCTATCACCTGGTATTGTATTATTATTATTATTATTATTATTATTATTATTATTATTATTATTATTATTATTATTATTATTATTATTATTATTATTATTATTATTATTTGATTCCCCAATGCTGTCCAAAGCCTCCTTTCTCTTTGTGGCATTTTCAAACAATGGTCAGTTTTGGATATATTTATCAATTATAAGCCACGTCAAACACAAAAGCAGCTTACACAGTAAGATTAAAACATCCAGGTAAAATAACAACTAAAAATAACACACGGCAGAAGAATAAATGGAACACATTGGATGGATAATGAATATATTCCCTACCACAGCTCAACCTTCCTGCAAGGCCTGTTGAAAAAGGCAGTTTTTTATGGATATATGAAGGTTCACCAGGTATGGGGGTCCACTTAACATTTGTTTCCTTTGTGATATCCTCTAAGATCAGCTAAGAAATTCTTCTGTATACATAACAATAAAAAGAGAACTTGTGACCGTTTATTTTTCCCTGATTCTGGAAATCCTATCCTGTGTAAATTGCCAAATATTGTGCTCTGGCATTTTTGGAATCTGTTTGGGGGGGGGAAAACCCACCTCATTTTTCAGCTATTACAACATTCAGCCAACTACAACAGAGTTTCAAGTAAAACAATTACTATGGAATTACCTAATTAAGGCAGTGGCATAAGTTAAGACTTGAAAGTTAATTACATTTTTTTTTAAAAAAACAACAACTTATAATAGTAATGTTCCAAACCTGCACACAGTGGCTTTGGAAATAAATCCCTTTGGACAGATATTTGAGTAAATAGGCACTGGAGCCTGTTGTAAATTGGGTCTCATTTCTAACAGCTGGACAGAAACCAAAATACTGGAGCTGGAAGCTTAGGAAACATAGAAGGCATTAGATTAGAAGGTTTAAAAGCTTTAAATCCTGGTGCTCTTTCAAATGTGTTTTCTTAGATTGACGTGAACAGATTTTAAAATTACCATTAAAAAGTATTAAATAAGGACTTCTTTTCCCGGTGTCTAAGAGTAACCATGCTTGGCACCCTCTGGATGTCTTGAGCTACAAGACCTATAGTTCACAGCCAAAATTGCCCTATCGCCTGAGAATTACAGAAGTAGCAAATGAGCGTATCTGGAGAACAGCAAGCTGAAGAAAGCTGACTTGGAAGTAGATTCTCATTTGTACTTGGCGCTCTACACATTGGCATATCAGACCACACTTATTAAATACTCTGGTGTCGGTGCATACGCACACAGATACGGAGCTCCCCTCACCGTGTTGGTTAGTGTTGGTGGGAATTGGAGATCCACATGCAAAAGTCCAGAGGTTGCCTTTTCTAATTTAGAGTAGAAGGGGAGAATTTCCTGAGCTTCTGGGGATAACAATGTACTCATTGCATTCTGGACATTTTTGGCATTTTTATGCTGCTACAGAAACCTCAAAAATTCTGCCCCAGTTCAGACTCATTAAAAAAAACAGAATTTTTTCCCCAAGCAGAACACAAACATTCAATTCTGTAGTCAACTGTGAGCATAGCCATGGACAACTGCCAAAATTATATAAAGCAAGGGGAAAACAGGAGATGCAAAAGTGGTTGCACCGGCGGCATCCTGAGGGGGCAGGAGTGGGGGGGATGGACGGACACACAAGATGGTGTCTTTGTATTCATGTACTAAAGATGAAGGAGAGGCTTTTTCAGCTCTGGCAGTGGGACAAATCTGCATCAGGAGGAATTCGGCTCCTAATTTAGTTGAGGGGCTTGGGAGTAGCTATAAGACAGACAATCCCCCTTCTCTAACTGCCACCTTACATCATTTCTGCCTGAGGCCTACCAGGCCTACCAGTCATTCTTCTGACTGGTAGGCCTGGCCCTGCCTAGGCTTTTAAATGAGAAGTCCCACCAAGACTTCTCATTTAAGAGACTGGGACCCGGTGCTCAGTGGCTAGGATGGTGAGCTTGCTGATCAGAAAGGGTGGCCGTTCGGCAGTTCGAATCCCTAGCACCCGCTTAATGGAGTGAGCTCCTGTTTCTTTGTCCCAGCATCTGCCAACCTAGCAGTTTGAAAGCACGTAAAAAGTGCAAGTAGAAAAATAGGAACCACCTTTAGTGGGAAGGTAACAGTGTTCCTTGCGCCTTCGGCATTTAGTCATGCCGGCCACATGACCACGGAGACAGCGCTGGCTCTTCAGCTTTGAAACAGAGATGACCACTGCCCTCTAGAGTCGGGAATGACTAGCACATATGTGCAAGGGGAACTTTTACCCACCAAGAGATAGAGATAGGAGCACTAAAACATGTATGGCTCCCAGGGATGGGAATAAGTTGGAGGGCCTTAAAAACCTAAAGCATGAATGAATGAATTGCATTTTTAAAAATCAACATTGCTGTAGTTTGAATCTGTGACCTTAAAGAAAGGACTGTCACTGGGCATTTGCAGATAAAGTTCTCTTTTTCAACTGGGCGACCTTGGGCCAGTCATTTTCTCTCAGTTCTAGGAAGGAGGCTATGGCAAACCACTTCTGAAAAATCTTGCTAAGAAAACGGAAGGGAATTATCCAGGCGGTCTCTGAGAATCCAATACAATTGAACAGAAGAAAGAAAGAAAGAAAGAAACCTGCCTTTTTAATGCAATGTGATATTTCAACCATCTCCACTAGATGGCACTTTGGACCATTATCCCAAATAGCACAGGCTACTGCTGAGTAATAAAAGCTGGATGATGGTCAGTTATTTAAGCTGGGGAAGAGATTCTGACGCTAGTAACCATCAAGAAATGCTTGGAAAACAGAGACATTCAAACCTCACTGCTGCAGAAACCTTAACTTTACATGGAAAGCAACACATTATTCTTTTTCATAAAAGCCAAGGCAAAGATTTTGATCAGCAACCTTTTTTCTCCTAATAGGTCCTGAGAAGAATGTATACAGACCATGGGGCTAATTAGATTACAATTTGATTAATACATAAATAAAACAATTAGATCTCACTGTAGCCAAAGCTAGGAGATTGGGGTGAAAGTTTGACTTTCTAGACAGACCTGTGCGCAGTCATGAAAAGTCAAAATCTTATCTTAACTTCCTGACCTGTAGACCCAGGATTTATTCTGGGATGAGAGATGTCTTCTTGCTTCCCTTGGGGTGACTGTTACTTGGAGGAATCCAGAGGACTTACAGAGAAGAGAAGGCCTTCATCTCTGTGGACGGAGAAAGAAATATGAAATATCTTATAACCTTAGGATGCAATCACAGAAATCACAAGATTATACCCTTGGTCTTCCTTGACCAGCTTTTTGGTAAAACGGAGGCCCCTTTTGAAACTCTTAGTTTAAAATCTAATGATCTTCATTCATTTTTCTCCCCACACTTCTAGAAAATGGTGCACTTGATTACATTTTTCATGCTACACCCAAATCGAACAGATGCAGGTTTTTAGATTTCACTGATTAGCTAATAATTTCTTAAGGCCATAAAAGTTACGATTGGATTTTTCCCCAGCATAGAGGTATTTTGGGCAGATCATTTGTTTTGAAAGCACAATGCTTGGGGGATTCTGTGAGTTGAAGTCCACTCCACTCATTTTAAAGTTGCTAAGGTTGAAAGACACGGGTCGAGATATTTTGCAGGCTGCCACCTTTGATCCATGCCAATGGCAAGAGCTCATTTAAAAGACAATTGCACCGACCGTCACTAAATGCTAGCTTGCTAAGAAAAGGAATGCTAATTTATTTATTTATTTAGTTTGTCAAACATGTAAAAGATAGCAGGTATAAGCATAAACATAAATATGAACACAGTAAATGGGTACGAATAAATGGAGGTAGTAGAACAGGGACGGTAGGCACTCTGGTGCACTTACGGACACACCTTATGTAATATAAGTTGCTGGAAAGATTGTGACCTTGGGTATTTCTCTCAGTATTCATGGTCCTACCTAAAAACCAACAGCTTAGGGCAGATCTCTTAACTAGAGACATGTGGTAGCTGAATAGGGAGTTTCAACTCAACCCAAAAACTCAGTGAGCTAAGTCCTCTGAAACAGTTTTGGGCAAAAGCTTCTGAAGTAGGTATTTTCCACTATTGCCCCCTTGGTGAAGACCTTGAAAGGAACTTTTGAAGTCCTCTCCCAGAAAAAAAATATTTATAGAAGATATGCACCTAACATAGAGAGAAGCCAATACCAAAAAAAAAGTAACATCTTAACTTTTCCAATTGCTCTAAAATGGGTGAGACTATGCCTGTATTGGTGTAGAATTAGATTGAGACTTAGAAATTGGCGTGTAGTGTCAAAGCTCACTAATTCTTATGTATTATTTATTTATTTATTTAAGGATCAACTTTCTTGATGTTGATGATCAGGTTGTCACTAGAGAAGAGATAAATGCTCCCAAAGGAAGCTTGTCCCATGATTTTGGACATTAACTACTTTGTACATTGAAGCAAGTGGAAAATAAACCCAGTAGATCCCATAGAAAACTTCTAATGTGAAATAATGTTTTGCCGTGAGGCTCACCATGGTTGTGGTTTCAGTAATCACTCCAAGTAAGGGGTTGAGAAAAGGCTATGGTTAGGCCTGGAACCAGGCACCAACCAAAAGAACAAACCAACTGTGTGCTCTAACAAGAGATTGCAGGACAGATTAAAGTTATGACAAGGATTTTCTAGGATCTCTGTCATTTTCCTCTATAAAGGATTGATGAAATGTTTGTATGTAAGGGGCAGGATACTATTGAGGTCTGGAGCCATTTCTCAATTTCTGCACAGACACTGATATCTGCAGGAGTTTGTTGCTTTCATTGGAAGGATAAAAGCAACCTTGTAGCATGGCATCACAGGTTTCACTCCT